AAACATAATCATTTTTCTGTTTTTTTTATATTTTGCCATATTTTTGAAATTCATGCAATTTAAGTTTCTGAAACAACTACTTTACTACGGATTTAATGGGCTGATGTTTGAGATAAAAACCAGGTTTTATTATATTCAAAGTTATTAAAAGAGAGTTCTTGGCTATAGGTATAGTTTAACTGCGAGTGCACTGTGAAGAATTATAAACTGAAATGTCAGGATCCAATTGAAAACAAAAAATATTAACGTTCTACAATTGTTCTACATCTGTACGTTCTACAATTTTTCTACATCAGTACGTTCTACAATTGTTCTACATCAGTACGTTCTACAATTGTTCTACATCAGACTGATGTTCTTCAGAAAATCCCAATGCTGAATAGATCTGGAGATTCAATTTTTATAAAACATTTAATAACTCGGACGAAAATAAGTACGAAATTAGTGGTACTGTAGATATACTTGGTGACCTGAGTTGAAAACTTTAGAATGGTGGATATCGAGATTAGTGCTTAATCCTCTCTTTTCTTAATCTCAAGACTAGCCTAATCTTGTACTTGTATCCTGAAAACTGTATAAAATTCAACCAATCAGAGTCGTGTATAAGAAGCCGATAAAACTGAAATTTTGCTCGCCATTTAAGATTACTATACAGAAACGGAAGGGACTCTCTAAATAAAAAATCCCGGTTTTTGATTTTACTCTACTATATCCAAGAAAGAACGGTTTAAGAAAAAAATCAAAAGTGTGTCCTATGGATACTTAGAATAAGTAATTGGGATTAAGGATATCTCATTCTAAAGTTTTCAGTTCTGGAAGCTTCTCTAATTTTGCTTTAATTACCAACAAAATAAAAGAAAAGCTAATTTTTTGTTTAAAAATTCAAAACTATTTTATTCTTCTTGTAACATGTACAGCGTTAACCACAAGGTTTAAGAGACGACTGTTCAGATTTTAAACTGTATGTTTCCTTATAGTTTTGAATTCCTGAACTTCTTTTTTATTTGTCTAATTCTTAAATAAGGCAAAAAAAGACTAGAAGGCAAAAGACTTAATTCAGCATTGAAATTGTTAAATTAAAGAATTTCAGGTCGTCTTTATAGTCTCATCCTTTCTGGTTAACCCTGTTATTAACTTTGATTTACTTACAGATAATGGTTTATAGTGTTAACTATTAAGTAATACCGAGCATATTTAGCTCTTTTAAATGGAAAGTAAAAAAAGCGTCAACATTTTACTAACAAATGCTTCAAAATAAAGATGATTTAAAATTTAATTTAAAAAGCTTGTCTTACGTCATGATTGAATCAGGTTAGGGGTAAATTTAAAATATTTTTATAAATTCACTAAATCTAGTTCCAACTCCATTTATATTCCTTTCTGCTGATACAAGGATTGAGGAATGATCTATTATTGCAATAGATTTACATATTTTAAGGATTCAAGAAACTCCATTTGAGTTTATCAGAACCCAGAAAACTTATAAATAATTCTTTATCAACATTTTTTAATCTATATTTATATAGTAGTAATCTCTGTTTGTTTGTTTATACGATCGAACCGCTGGACCAATTTGTCTCAATTTTGATTGGGGAACTCGGAATACCTACGGGAATGTTTATAGCTTGGTTTTTAGATTCCAAGTTGAGTGGGTCTTGTAAAGGAAAAAAATAGGAATTTTAGACCACGTGCGGGTAAACGGTGGGAGTAGCTTTAAGTACCCAAGCTAATATAAGTATAAAGGGAATGACCGCCATGAAGGAGGCAAAAACTCTGTATTTTAGAAACCATGATTAGGATTTTTGATCAGATTTTATTTCATTAAATTCTCTTAAAATGAATGACTGGTAAGTACATAAAAAAGCAATTTCCTCGAATTTTCTTCTATATTTGTTGTATGGAGAAACATGATTTTCTCTTATTTAGCAACAACAAACAATGTATAAAACTAAGCACTTCATAAGCTAGAAAAAAAAACGAAAATATCTTCAGTATTTCAGTGAAAAAGTTAATGAAAAGGGTGATAGTCATAGAATTTTACTCGCCGGTTTTTTATCACTCTTTTAGATCTTTTTTATCGGTAAAATTTATATTTTTCTAAAATTATCACATCTTATGCATTTCATCTTATGCATTTCATCTTATGCATTTCATCTTATGCATTTCATCTTATTCATTTCATCTTATGCATTTCATCTTATGCATTTCATCTCATGCATTTCATCTTTTATGCATTTTATCTTTTATGCATTTCATCTTATGCATTTCATCTTATGCATTTCATCTTATGCATTTCATCTTATGCATTTCATCTTATGCAATTCATCTTATGCATTTCATCTTATGCATTTCATCTTATGCATTTCATCATTTATGCATTTCATCTTTTATGCATTTCATCTTATGCATTTCATCTTATGCATTTCATCTTATGCATTTTATCTTATGCATTAGTTGGAAATTAAGCGTTTTTCTGCATTGGTTCCCCCCCCCTTCAAGAAGTTATTTGATTATCCTATTTATTCAATTATAAGAATTGACATGACTATTCATTGTATAAGGAATGGCGCATAATGTCTACACGTGTAAAATGTCTAAATATAGAATACAGGAGGTTTAGAAAATTAACTTAAAGGGACTGTAAGCGTAATTTCAAGAGATCCTTCATACAAAGCTTTTTTCTGATGAAGTATGAATTAGATATCAATGTTTTTTTCCTTTACACTTTTGTCTTTATTTTCGGTTTTTCTGCGGAAGGGACTTGCGCATTTCTTGTTTATAAGAAGCCTTTTGTCAATCTTATTAATTTAAAATAGTCTCTATTGTCTCATGATAAAAATCACACAACCTCGAAACGTTTATTTTAATACTGTAAACAAGAATAATTGTTGCCTGGTTATTTTTACCATTATTTTTTTAACATTAAAATAATGTACAAAGAGTGAATATATTCAAAAATTATTTTGAAAGTTTAGATTTCTCTTTCCCAATTACTACATGCGAAATTTAGTATTTGTAATAAGTTGAAAAAACAGTCCAACCTATTGAGCACTTTAATCTGATTTGATGATTTTAATAAAATTGGGTGGATACCACTTATTAATATAATTGGGTGGATACCACTTATTAATATAATTGGGTGGATACCAATTGGGTGGATACCACTTATTAATATAATTGGGTGGATACCACTTATTAATATAATTGGGTGGATACCGCTTAATATCCATTTCATTTTCATGCGGATCCTGTATTAGCCCTGAAAAAATGAATTTGGATCCACGGGTCCAGGTTTTTTTACGATATGAAAAGTTGCCTTAATCTTACTATTTTTATGCTCACCTTGATGGGACGTGTTCAGAGATTTGGAAGTTTTTCTTAATCTTTCAGTTGAATGTTGAGATTTGTGTTCTGAAAGAAAAACTAGATTTAAGGAGTTTTCATTTTTTTATTTTCCCCTTCATTATGTTTTTTGCTTATTTTATACCGAAACTTGGTGGTCAATAACGAGATAAAAAAGTTTAATATAATCTCATTGAGTCATACAGCTAAATAAACAATGCTGTTCTTTATTTTTACAATTTTGCCAGACTCATTCCAATTATTTTTGTAAGAAGTTAAGAAAAATATATTGTGGGCAGATTGCCCAGGGTTTTCTGGACCCTGTTGTTCATGGATATGTATTGGAGGCTAGGCGCGCTTATTTCATTTATGGAAAACCTGGTTTGAGCAATTTTAAATTTCCAATCCTGGTTTTGGTTGAGGTTATATAGTTTATGTTTGGATGAGAGCTTACCCTGAAATCTAGCAGAAAACTAGGGAATTGCAATGAAATTGTCTGGAAGATGAGAAATTGGGCTGATTGGGGCTCTCATGGCCATATTACACATCCCATTACAGATCCTTTATACTCAGCCATTATCCTTATACAATAGATAGATACTGAAACAAGTAATGTTTAAAACTTAAAGGGATTCTTACCTCTAAAAGTTGTAAGCATTTTTTAGAGTTCTTAAAGGGAATGTTATTTTAAAGGGACGGTAAAGGAAAAATGAAATCTGAGAATCTCAGGCGTTGAACGATAAATATAAGAGTTCTATCTGATGCCTCGAGAGATTTGAAATAAAACTGTGTCAAAATTATACAAAAATTCATATATTTACAATTTTGTATTAAAGTAGTAGGTTAATACAGATCATATTCAACAAATACGCAACCAATCGAATCTAAAAATAATCACATCCCACAGGAGCCTGTGAATCTCAGGTTTGCTCCTATTATAATTTTTCAATTTTTATTTTGCATTTTTAAAAGATATAATTGATAATATTATTACATAAAGTCCGTATTACGTCACCAGAACTTCAGCATTTTTTAGAGTTTTATAAAAGGGAATTAAGTTTCTTCCATTAAATAAAAATACAAGCTTACCTACTGTACCCTTGGACCATTAATCTGATCAACAATAAGGAAGAAAGCGTCGTTTTTCTTGCTTGAAATTATTTTAGTTTTGATATTTTCTCCATTGTTACCTTGAAGCAAAAAAGTGTGCAAGTCACTTTTTCAGAGAAACCACACATGAAATAAACAGTTTATAAATTAAAAAAAACATGGCTATTTTCTTATTCCTGATCAGCCCATGCACCTCTGACCCTTTAGTAAAAGTAAATTCAACCTAAAGTCTGACTGTGTCAACTTTGTTGCACTGGCTAGTCCTATTGAGCGCCTGCTTTATTTAACCAATGTCCAGGCAATACAGTAGAAACTGGGACCGGAAAGGTTGACACCCAGCTCGGAATTTTAAATGTACTACGGAGGCCGTGCGCCAGCGTATTTAATTGTACTGTTGTGAATGAGACATATTACTCTATGGAGGTTCACTTACATTTCCAGTATTTTTAACCTAACTATTAAAGTTATATGAAAGAAGCTTGTATTTATGAAGGAACATCTTCTAGACCTATAATAAAGTAGCTCCTTTTTAGGATATAGCTAAAGGAGCTTCTGTAGGTCTGCTGTTCCATGAAAGCATTACACAGTCTGAAAGGTCTGTTTTTTTTATAATTCTGTCTATTCCACCTTTTCTAATTAATTTTTATTAGTGTTTATGTTATAAATAGACTTCTTTATCTTCTTTCTTTAACTAATTACATTTAACTGTAACATTTATTTTTTATTTTCAGAAACATTTTTTTATTCTCAAATAGAATTCAGGCATAATTAAAAATCATCCTTTTTAATACTTTTTACCAAAAACTTTATTTTTCCATAAAAATCATAATTTTCCCTAATGCAGCATATTGCAAAACTGCAAAAAAAGAAGTTTGCGCTTCACATAAACAAACCTAATATCTGTGGAATCAAATGATTTTCTAACATTTCACAATTTTTTGTGTCAGAAAATTAAGAAAAGGTTTAAATTAGGTTCCAAAACTTTTCTGATTAAACATTGTGTTTTACAAACTTTATAACACTTTTAAAGGAAGAGGATGTTATAAAAAAGATAATTTCATTTAAATATTGCCAAAAAAGTTACAGCTTGCAAATCAAAGACATATTTTAAAGTTTTCTACAATTTTTTCATATCATTTCAGGTAATTACAGAAATAAATATGAGCTAGAGCCTCAACCTTAAACTAATATTAACGAATTCAAACATTTTTTATATCTACTAAAAATTGCTGATCAAATGGTGTAATTTGTTCACGAAACAAATTCAAGTGAAATTTTGGGATAAAAGCAAAAACAATTCCTTTTCGCTGCAAGCCATAATTCGTATGCGTCAAAAAAAATCTATGATTAGAGGCTGTTATATCTGAATGATTTGTTAGGAATTAAATTGATTTGTTTACAATCGCGAATTAAGTCTATACCCTCTTTCATTTTTTTGCAAAAACTCCCTTTAAGTCACAACTTAATCTAATGACAGGGTGTATTTTAATAATGATAATAAAAAGTAATAATACAGATTAAAATACTAATAAACTTTTAATTGTTTATGTTTTGACTAACTTTAAAAACTAGATAGCATAAATGTTTATTCTAGAGCAATGGAAAAATGCCAAAATGAATTTTCATGCCTGTTAGCATAAAAGTAAAACTCAATAGATTTTAACATTGTAACTGAGTTCTGATATTGTCTAATAAAAGTATCTATATTGCAGCAAAGCTAAACTAAATATTTTATTACATAAGAGAAGTCAGTGGGTTATATTTTCTCTGTAAACATATTATTTCCTGAAAGTTTAGCCTCTTTATTACCACTTGAATTTAGAAGAAAATGTATGCAAAAGTTATACAATAAACAATTTATTTGCTTTAAACACCATGTTTTTTCTAGGGATCGTTTAGAGAGCATTTTGACAGAGTTAACCACATCATTCAAAACGGAGGCAAGTTGTTTTAAAAATAACTGTCTATTAAAAGAAAACAATTATCTTCTATTATAATTTCTTTTTCTGTTTGCATAGAACTAGGCTTTCAGGGAACTTCGTACCCATCTTCTATTTTAATTGTGAACATTTTCTCTTTGTAGACTTTGTAAAACAATAATAAAAAAGTTTGCAGATCTTATGTAAAAAAAAACTGGATTTTCAACATTTTATGAAAATCAAATTTTGTTGGAGGCTAATTTTTGAAATTTTGATCATCAATAAACCTCCCCTGTGGTCACATGAGAATCTACACAAAATTGTGGCCCAATCGGTTCAGTCGTTGTGACAATTATTGGATACAAACAGACAAGCAAGGTTTTATAAAAAGAAATATATGTTGTTCTGAGCCTGACTGCAGTAAATATATTTGTTTTAGACAAGATCTTTTATAAAATTATTATTTTTCTACTTATTTTCTCCCAAACTACCAAGTAATCCCTTTTTTGATCACCTTTCCTCTGGTTGGGGATTAAGCTAAGAGTATGGGATTAGGGGAGTAAAAAGGGGAACATTGAACACTGGAGAATAGTTTTCTTTTATCATTTCTATTTACCAGACAAGCAGTCGGGGCATTTTAGTTGGAATCAATAGAAACAACTCTTTATTCTATTGTTTGGAGAGAAAACATTATGGTTTCCTGGTTCACAACAATCTTGTCAATATTTTTTCAACTTTCTCATAAAACAAGAAATGAGAAGGAAAAAGAAAAGGAATTAAAACTTAAGAAAATGGCAAAGGAAAATTAAAATCTTAAATAACTAAGAAGTACATTAGGAGAAAGACCTTGTCAAGAAAAAGAAATCTAAAAGAAACAATTGTTTTCTTTAAAAAAAATGAGAAGGAACAAGAAACAAATAACCATGAAATAGAATAATTTTAAAAAGAAGGACACTCAAAAAGACCAGAGAAGATTAAAACAATATTTAGTATTATTTTTAAGTAATTAGAGTTGGGACAAGTTTAATCAGGAGTTGAATTATTAAGGAGAAGTTTAGTATTTAAAGCATGGTGTAATATTTAGATTATGATCAGATACTAAAATCCCTCACCCATTTCTCTGAATCAGAGCAGAGTAGAGAGCCTGGAGAATGGGTATAGAGCACATAGAGCACCCAGGAACCTTTACAGGATAGAAGTTAGAGATTAGTTCTGTTTATTCAACTAAGCCTAGGGACTTGCACTTCTAGACAGCTATCGGAATGATATATCTTAATCATGTCCATCAGAAAATTAAGGAGGACACCTTTCTCATCATTATCCATAAATATGCATTCTTGGATTCCTCAGTATCATCAAGAGATTTATTTCCTGGAACTGGACCAATTGCTCTCATACCAGCCTGTCTTAACTACCTATAAGGACACAGGGAAGAACTAGGATACTCAGGTTACCAGATGCTGCCCCATCTGGATATTGGAGATGCTGCTCTTGACAGACAGCTCTTCACATATTTGGAGCGGCTAGAAGATCCAGTCAGGCCTATGACTCCAGGAGCAGAAGCTAAACCTGATTTTGGAGACACTGCTCTTTTCAGACAGCTCTTCACATATCTGTTGTAGAAATAGCTGCATGACACATAAAAGAACTAGGATATCCAGGACACACGTGAGAGCTAGGACTTCCAGGACATACAAAAGAACTAGGATATCCAGGGCAAACAAGTCCAGCTACGGACCAGCCAGTCAAACTACAGACCAAGACATATTCTCCAGCTGGTTCTATGAACAGAGCTACTGGAGACTTGGAGCAGCTAGAGTGTTCGAACAGAGGAGAACTAGATTACCCAGCCAGTACATCAGAGGCTGTTCTATACTTTCCAGAGGATCCTGAGTACAGAGAGGCAGCTCATCGTAGAGCAGCTCTTCCCAGACCTGTTGTGAAACCAGTAACAGAACCAGAGCATCCTGGGTATGGAGGCTTCGCTCATTTTAGAGCAACTCTTAACGACCTGTGTTGTAGAATCAGTAGCAGAACCAGATGACTCTGGGTGCGGAAACACCGCTCATTGTAGAGCAACTCTTCACAGACCTTTTGTGGAATGAGCAGGAGAACCATAGGATCCTGAGTACGGAGACGTAGCTCATTGTAGAACAGCTCATCACAGACCTGTTGTAGAAGCAGTTGAGGAAGAAGAGATCTTGATGCAGGGGATGCTGCTCTTTACAGACAGTGTTTAACAGACAGGTTGCAAGTCCAACAAAGGATGCAACTGAGAACACATTAAGAGCATCTCAGATTAAAAGTACAGTTAACGTAGCAGAGACTCCAGGAGCAGCACCAGTAGTAAAAGAAGCAGCTGGGAATGTATCAGAAGCATCTCCTGAACCAGAGGAGCTGAACAAGGGGAGTTTTAGAAAGCTGCTCAGAAAGATTGTGATCCAGAACAGCTGGACGAGATATTTGAGGTTGGGAAAGGTGCTCTGACAGACCTGGAACTGAAGTAGTTGAATCACAGTTTTCAGGATACTATAGAGAGCTCATTAAAACAAGAGTAACCTTTTACAAATGTACATAACAAATAAGACTATGAAGCTGATAAATCCTATTCATGTATACTCCTAACAGATATCTAGAGAAAGAGCTTTAATAGGGATTTATAATAACAAGAGTAAGGGGATTCGGAGTAAAATATTTGTGCACACCCTAACCATGGGAGCAAATGATTGATCTTGAAATCCCTAGGATTTACATTGGGATTGTGATCAATTGAACCCATTAATCATTACAGAAGTTGAATTGTTAGAAATAGTCATAAATCAGGAGTTGAATCAAGAGTTGTATTGTTTAGAAGGAGTTGAATCGGGAGTTGTATTGTTTAGAAGGAGTTGAATCAGGAGTTGTTTTGTTCAGGAGGAGTTGAATCAGGAGTATATAGAATATCAAGAGTTTTCACAAACTGTGTCTGCAGGCCTTCTCAAAGGTAAATATGCACTTGGCAAGTTGTCAATAATTGCGGAAAAGAATTTAACTGTCTTGATAAATAAAAATTCTCTTGTTTAATAAGAAATTGATTATTAGTTTGAAATGGAAACTCTTAAGTCAGGGTTCCTCCCAGAGCAGATTTGGGTCAGTTTACCTGCCCCTTCTGACCAGGACCTGCCACTTTCAGATTTGAAAACTTTGGGCAAAAATCTGCAAATTTAGGAAAATAATTGTCAATTTAGAGACCTAATCTGCCAATTTTGGGGAAAAGCTACCAATTAACGCATAAAATCTGCCACAAACATAAATGTAATGCAAAAAATCTGCCATAAAAATTATGAATGAGCTTTAAATCTGCCTAAAGCTTAATCTTAATGCATGATATCTGCCTCAAAAATTATGAATGAGCTTTAAATATGCCACAAACATAACCTTAATGCATGAAATCTACCACAAAAATTATGAATGAGCTTTAAATATGCCACAAACATAATCTTTATGCATGAGATCTGCCACAAAAATTATGAATGAGCTTTAAATCTGCCACAAACATAATCTTAATACATGAGATCTGCCACAAAAATTATGAATTAGCTTTAAATCTGCCACAAACATAATCTTTATGCATGAGATCTGCCACAAAATTATGAATGAGCTTTAAATCTCCCAAAAACATAATCTTAATGCATGATATCTGCCACAAAAATTATGAATGAGCTTTATATCTGCCACAAACATAATCCTAATGCATGAGATCTGCCACAAAAAATTTGATTGAGCTTTAAATCTGCCACAAACATAATCTTTATGCATGAGATCTGCCACAAAAATTATGAACACGCAAAAAGTGTAAATCTGATGTAAATCTGAGGCCTTTTCTGTTATTGGTTAAAATTATCGGTCTGTAATTGGTTAAATTAAGCGTCACACATGTATTCCCCCTTTTAAAAAGCTAATCAGTGCACATACATGACTTCACAAAAAATGTTGAACAATAAAATATAAAAAACCCTAAAGTTTCATGAAAAACAGTAATGAAAATCTTATGGGAGGGACCTGGTTATTGACCTTTTTACAACACCAAAACGCTCTATTCTACTACCATAATCCAAAAAATTTCTCTTGCAACCCCCACCGAAGAAAACTTTTTCGAAGTTTTCGTGGGCTTTTTGTGAATTCTTTCACTTTTGCTTTTATCCTAACCTGCCACAAAAAACCTGGGAGAAATGCTGTCTTATGTACAACATCTGCATTAGGTTTCTTTCCAAAAATGACTTTAACACCTAATAATAATAAATTTATTTTCTATTGCAAATGATTTTTTGTAAATAATTCTGAGTAAAATGTTAATTAATAAATAATTGAAATAGTCTGATGTCCCTTTGGATCATGCATGGAAAGTTCTGATTCTGCAAGTGCTGTTAAATATAAGAATAAACAATAAAGGATTCTACAATGAATTAAATACTGAAATGATAAATATGTTATGTAATGAGTAAATAATTAATGTCTCTTATATTTGTATAAATTTGCATATTTTGAAAAACTACATATTCAAAATTTAACATATTTAAACTACACCATTTATGTAGGTATTTATTTGTGTTCATAATTATAACAATTATGTTTACAGCATCCCTCTCAAAAAGATAAAATTACTTACAGTTTTGTAGTTTCGCTACAAGTTTTGCATGATTTTATAGATTTAAACCTTTATAAATCTTGATCAAGTGACAATGATAATAGATTAAGAATTTGCAAATTGAGCCTTTAGAATTGTTTAAAGTAAATGAGTGAATCATTTTATTGTATGTTATTGTATTTTGAATTCTTTTTCATAGGGATGTAGATAGAATTTGCAAAAGATGAGTATTGTAAAATAAGGCTATATTTTACGTTATGGTAAAAAAATTATCAGACTTTGTATTTCACATGGAGTAAAAAGTAAAAAATACCCCTGTCTGTCTAACTTTCTTTTGCAAATATATATGTATGCAAAGTTAAAAAGTTTTCTATGTCAGATAATGGTAAAAAGTTTGAATATTCTCAATAGATAACTTGTCACAACTTAAACATTCCTCTATTCACCAAATATCATCCTTGGAGTTTAACTTTATTTCCCGGGATCAAAACTTACCCAAAATTATATTTTTTTTTTGGATATTATTTTCAATTTTGATATCGAACCATGATTTTGTCTTAACAAGTTCAGAGACTGCAGAGCTTTGGTTAAGCTCAACAATACAAAAATTTCCCAACTTGGAAACGTATGTATGCCACTTCATTTCTAGTTTTTGGGTTATTTTATAAAAAAATTTAATTTTGTGTCCTAGCCCCCTTTAACAATCTTGCTTATGTGTCTCCTCACCTCCCTCTTCAACAATCTTGTTTTTGTGTCCTTACCCCTTTTAATAATCCTGCTTTTGTGTCCTCATCCTCTTAAACAATCTTGATTTTTTGTCCTCACTCCCTTTAACAATATTGTTTTTATGTGTCCTCTCCCCCTTTAATAATCCTGCTTTTGTATCCTCACTCCCCTAACAATCTTGTTTTTGTGTCCTTGTCCCCTTAAACAATCTTGTTTTAGTGTCCTAACCCCCTTAACAATTCTGTTTTTTGTGTCCTCACCGCCTTAACAATCTGTACGATACATCCGTTTTCCTTTTATGTCTTGGGTTAATTTACTTTAGGTGAGAGTAGGGTGCAGAGGTTTCTTTTTTAACTGCGGTCAAAACTTATTGGGGAAGCAGGGATAATATAAATTATACAACCCCTGAAAACTTATTGAGGAAGCAGGGATAATATAAATTATACAACCCCTGAACACTTGTTAAAGAAGGGGATAATATAAATTATACAACCCCTGAATACTTTATCAAAGGGCTAAATCCATGAACAATAGCTGATTCCTATTTTTGCAATCTTTCGTTAGTAAAGATCTTCTTTTTTTACTTCTGTTAGGTCATCCCTTCAAAAGAATTAATAATACAGAAGTATTAACCTCTGTATCATTCTCGGCTTAATGTTAGCATTTCTTTTCACTACCTTAAAAAGCAAATTTAGTACAAAAATATGATAAAGTTTAAATAGGGTTTTCAAGAAATTTTTGCAAGTCATATGAAAGCCTAGATGAAAGCTTAAGAGTAAGCATTATAAAACTAAAAAAAACAGTATGTGGAAGTTTCTAATACATGTAAACTTTCTATGTTACTTTTACTGACTTGTTCTAAATATTACTTACAATTTTATTCTCACAAAAATTTGACTTTTCCTGAATCAACATATATAAGCACAATGAATTTATTCCTGAAGATGTTTAATTATCAAAAGGCTGACAATAGATTTCTCTGAAATAGCAGATTTATGAAATTAGAGATTATGAGATTAAGTGCTTCTTATATCATTCCTATATTCAAACAAAATAAATTTTAACTAAACCATAATATATGTAATAGATAATAACCACAGATTTTAAATAAAATATAAATCATTCAAAAATATGCATTTTTATTTAATATAAACTTTGTAATACTAAGTAATATTAAAAAAGGTGAAATTATCTGTGCCCTAGAATGGGAAATAAGTATAGTGAAGGGGGGGGGGGGGAGAGAATGGTATAAATTGCCTTGGATTACAAAATATTGGTTTTCTTCCTTTCTCAGCTCAATATCGGGTCCAATTTGTCTCTTTCACCCTATTATTCTATATTCAATATTGTGAATGTTAAGTACAAAATAAAAGTGTCAGATGGGTAAAGTTGTATGCTTTATGTTTATTTTAATACTAGACAGCCTTTCAGACCATTTTGCTTCCCTCTTTCCTATTATTATTATTTGTATAAGAATGTTACAACCATTTTTTCTTTTAACATTCATTTGGAATTTGTAGCTATAATTTCAAGTAAGCCCCCAATTAGAGAGGGACGTGCCTGATTTAGTAATGTGGAAGATATTGGCTTTTTTTCAGCTCGAAAATTGAATAATTCCATACTTTTTTTTACATGGAAGTCCACAAGTGACTTTTATATATTAATTTATAAATAATTCATTTCTCAAAATAATAAATCATGGGATAGCTTAGTCATTCTTGAAAATACAAATTATTTCATTGTGAACAGAACATGCCACTTTATAAATGATGGGTTGCTTGAAATTTTGTCATTTTAATCTCTCCTAATCTAAGATATAATTTTTGAAATTTATGACTAAAAATGTTTTATACAATGTGAGGGCTTGAAACATTTTGTCAATAAAAATAAAAAGAAATAAATAGAAAATTAGGGAAAAAACAAAGTGACCTCTTTTGTTTTTGGTCACTTTGAAAGGCCACTTAACGGCCAATCTATTGTGTTAATTTATAGAATGAAAAAAGTTCTATTGTGCTCAGTTCTAACCAACAGGAAAAAAAAGTAATAGACGCCCAGCCCTGGAAAGGGGTGTATATTTTTTCAGAATTACCTACCCATAGGGGGGGGGGGATGATTATTTATTTTCCTCAATGCAGCAAATTACCCCCACCCCCAATAAATTCCGCTCCATGCAATCATATTTAACTTCTGGGAAAATTTAACATTTACGAAGAGAATGAATAATAAACAACCCTGGAGATGTAAAGAGAATGGATGTAAAGTTTATCTATGTCTGGTTGAAATCCCCAGCTTTATATTCAATTATCTGATAACTTTGAAAGAGACATTGTTACAAAGTTACAGCATTCAAGCAGTAGGTTAATACAAAATAGTTTAAATAGCAGGTTACCCCAGGTATTCCATTAGTTGAATACAATTTAAAAAGTAGGTTACTCCAGACATTCCATTAATTCAAAATAGTTTAAATAGTAGTATCCCAGGCATTCCATTAATTTAAGTATAGTTTAAATAGTAGACTATTCCAGACATTCCATTAATAAAATATAGTTTAAATAGTAGAGTACCGTAGGCATTCCATTAATTTAATATAGTTTAAATTAACAAACCCTCATTTAAATTTCATAATAAAAGAAGACCATAGGAGACAAACATTTCCATCAAGCTTGTATTAAGGAGCTGAGATGATCGGAGCTGGTATGGTGAAGGGAGCTGTAAAGACAAGTGAGCTCCTATTTACAGGTAGATATGAGCAGGCAAAACAAAAAATTTTATGACTAATGGTGCCCTTCAGAAAATTAACTAACAATAACAAACCAATTAGTTCATCAACAGAAATTTGAAAAAATGTTTTTTTAAACTTGTGAAGAAACCTTCATATAATGATTTATAAATAATTTGTTTGAATGAACTTGAAAATCGATTGCTCTGTTACTGAAGGTCTAATTTTTTCAAGTAAACTTTTTAAAAAATATTGTTTTTTTTACTGGTTTTTTTTGAAATAACAAATTTAGCTGAACAAATTATCTCACTGCATTGAAGGAACGATTTAATTGAAAAAAAAACTAACAAAATAAGTAAAAACTAAAAAATAATTTGTGAAAAAAAAAATAATTAAATTTTTTCTGTGCAACTGAAAAAAAAAATGAATGAATGGTGACCTAACAAATTGAAGAAATAAAGACATTTATTTACAGGAGCTGATTATGCTAAAACCTACATTAAGCCGGAGAATCCTAGACCTGTGGATCCTAGGTAGAATTCTTATTATTAGATTTTTCACACATTTGTAAATTATTTTTGGAATTAGGAACAAAATAAAGCTAATTGGATCCCTTGATGTGGATGGGACACAAACCATTAATATTTTCTCTCATGATTATTATCAGAGTTTAGCAGAAACAAATACTGCATTTCTTCTTAAAATTTGCTTTTCTTACACTAAGCAAAACCCGAACATGTTGTAACAATCATTTTTGGATTGTTTTCCCATTTTTTTTAGGATAAAAATATTATAAAGTTCAATTGAAGAAAACTTTAATAAAATACAGTTTTGAAATTTTGGAAGTTTTGTTATAGGGACAGACCAGCTATGTAAGGTAGTTAAACTGAGTATGCCGTGTTTTTAAATATCTGTAAATCCTTTTTTTGAGCGCAAAGTCGACATTCAAAATCGTACAATTGGGTGGATACGTTTTCAGAATTGTTTTTTAAATTATTAAATAAAAAAGACAAAAAATGTAAACAAAATTCTACAGTAAACTAATAAGTTGTTTGGGAACAGGCTGAGAAAATAAAAATCAACTCTTATCAGCGAAAATAAGTAATCTTATTCAATAATTAGTTTCTATAATCTATCTTTAATCACAAAGAATTTCCGCAGATTTTCTGAAATTTTCATTGAACAGACGACATTTGCAGAATTTGAAGAAATCTGCAAACAAATTCATAGAAAATAAGAAATTAAATTTAATGATGAAAAAGGAAATAATTAATTCTATTATTAAATATGTTCCTAAATATCTAATTAGTTTTCTATCCATTTTTACTCAGTAATTATACATCGTGGAAACGTTTTATATGTCTCAAATGAATCCCAAAGTATTTGTCCACAACACTGCATATACCTCACATACCTTATCTTAAATGAACCAGAACCAATAACTGTCAATAACCAGATCATTCAGAAAGGATTTTTTTGACATTCCATTTCTTCAAAATCTCACATCAGCTTAAATGTAAAAAAGGTTGTACCTTGTTTACCATGATGAAAGTTTTAATCTTTAAGAATTTTGTATTCCACTGATTAAGATAATTCCTTTTTGATATTTAGAACGGTCTAATCAATTGGCAAGCTTTTAGCAGTTTTCCCAAAAGTAAAGATTCAATCTCAAGTCTAGTAGAAAGGGTTTATTTAAGAAGTAAAAAACCTCAACTGTTTAAAATTCTCTTAGATTTTATCAAATTAAGATTACATTGTGTTTACTCTATGGAAATAAATTGACTAAATGTACTACATGAATTTTAATTCTAAAATTCTATTAAAATCGTAATTACTTAATCAAAAAGATCATATTTGAATGGGTAAGACTCAATAATCCCTCAATTAAACAAAAACTGTAGGAAAATGAAACAAAATTTCAAAGCTTTGAAAAAGATACTTTTGCTTAATTTACTGATTTATTGTTTAGTACTTGTTAAATTTAAAAATGAAATTCTAAATCCCAATAACAATAACAATAAAATTTTAATTCTTAATTCTACTAATTACATCAAGATAAAAACTATTTGCCCAAGTTGTATTAAAATTTGTATGACCAGTCAACATTTTTTAAATAATATGATTATCAGGCCCTTTATTAGCATATTTTTTTATCTATAAAAGTTCCTGACTTGATTCACATATGAACGTAAAGTGAGGAAAATTTTTGTTTTTTATAATTTTAAGGTTTTATATTGAAGATTATTTTCTTGTTTTTAAGAAACCGAAGCTTTTGCAGTTTTTAATTTTCAACATTTTGAAAGTTTTATCAGATTTTATCAACATTTGTATAGACTATTATTAATAATTTTGATAAAGAACAGCAGAGGCATAAACAGGGGTGAATAAGCCCCCCCCCCCCCCCCCCCACCCAATGAAGTTAAAACGATGATTTTGCAGGGGAGATTGAATCCCCCAAAAAGGTGAAGCTCTTCCCTGAATATGATGTGTACTTCTGGATGTTTTCCTTTTGTGTGTTAACAATTTTCTTTGAACCCTGGTACATTTTGGTGCAGTATTTTCTAACAATTGAACTCAAGAAATGTAAGTTCTAAGACTGGAACTTTACAAAAGAAGAGAGTTCATACAATATCTCTTGAATTTATTGTGCATTTATTCATATTTTAGTCGTATCAGGGGCATTGTGTAGAGAAAGCATATCCAGGTTTAATACTTATGCAGTTTTCACAATCGAATTCATGAATAAAAGTGCAAAACTTTTGAAAACTTTAGAATTTTCATTTTTGTGTCCTAACACCCAATAGCTCAAATAAATAGAAAGTGTTAATGTCATTGTATAAGAAAATTTTAGCTTGGGAACCCAGCTTTGCCTCTATTATAAATAAGTAATCCCAGAAGGGTCAACCCGTTCAGCCAAGAGTTAAGCTATGAACGATTCCATGTTAGCATCCAAGTTCCCCAATCAAAGTTTGAATCAAATCGGTCATTAAGTGTTTTATAGATATGATCAGACATACAAACAGACTGACTAGTTTATATTTATAACTAGTTTAAAGCTGAATTAAGGTCTTTTTTGTTATTTTTACTAAAATTGTAGCAGGAGCTTTTAATATATACAATGACTACATGGGAACTCTAACTAAAGGGTATCCAAACTTGTTATCAAGCATGTTTTTTATATTTCGAAAAGTTTTTGTAGAAAGCTTAGATGATTTGAATATTTGAAAACTGAACTAGTGTCCAAATTTAATGAATTTGAGCCGCGTCTTAAATCTGCCAAAGACTGGTTTTAATTGAGCTCCAGCTTAAATCTTTAAACATTGAAACCAACCATATTTGAGGCCCGGCTTAAATTTACTCCGCTGATCAAATTCTTTAAATTTGGCCTCAGGAGCCTATTTTAAGATCTTATAAAGAAACCCTCTAGGTCTGTATCCTCTGTGGTATAGATTCCTATAGATTCACAATCATTTGGAAAAAAGAATCTTGTTATTTTACATATTTTTTTTTTATTTGAAATTTTAACTATATTCTTTAAGTAGTTATATGATAGCAGACGCAAATATTTTGACATTTCTATATTTCTTGTTCTTCATTTTCTTCTTGTTTGGTTCATCTTTTATCATATTTCAGCTAATTTTGACATCCAAATAGTTGCCAAGCTGCTTACTTAAGAACTTTTGAAGTTGAGAGACTCCTGCTTTCCTATTTTTCTGAACTCTGTTTTGTTTAAACATGTTAGATCTGAGTCAGCAATTAAATTCAAACAGAAAATATATTCATGGTTTCCTCTATTCAGGGTAAAGTGGAGGGGGGGGGGGAGGTCTTCCAGCCCCATATTTGTTGATTACTGAAATACGGGTTCTCCCATGTTGTCTCCATTCGCTAATGGGGTAAAGGTTGATAGTGAGAGATTCTTTTTTCTTTTTGTTTCTTGTAGTTTCTTACTTTTGAGTATATCAGAGTTGCTCTTTCCTGACTGGGGCATTTTCTACATGTTTAGGCCTCTCCATGTAGATCTTGTGACACTGAGTTGTGGAGCAGGAAGGAAGGAGATAAGGAAATTTGGAGGAGGAAGGGTTTGAGGGATTTCATTAGAAGATCCCTGCTTTCCTTCATTTTAAAGTCTTTCCAACTTAAGCGGAATTAAGGAAACCCATAAATGCACTGCTTCTGCAAAATGGGGAGTTGAAAGCCTTAAAGCTCCATCAGGTTCACAGTAGTCCAGTCCTCATTGCCAGCCGAGTAAAAAACCTGTATCATTGTGCATGGCTTGTATATCTATCAGGGGTTATATTTCTGTGTTTCTTATTTCAGCTGAGATACTGAGCCAAGATAAGCTGAAGATGGAGTTCTTGTTTACTTTTTAAATCCTATGTTTTGCTACTCGCCTGTAGGATAAGTCATGAGCAACTCTACGCAATGCTCTACGAACTGTGAAGCCTGAAGCGACTATGAACAGGTCCGATCCCTGCCACAACCAGAAGCAACTGGAAAAGAAACTAATGCATCTTTAAATAAATGAGATCTTAATGTCTGCTAATTTGTTTTTGTTTAAAAGAATAGATTTTGCAATTCTTTGAAAGAATAAATGGTAAGGCCTTGGCAACTAATTATAATTACATTTTCGAAGAAAACTAAAACTTTTAAATACTTTTAACTGAAATATATTTCAATCTTTTTTTGTTAAAGGCAGATTAAATGGCTGCACTAAAATATATGGAAATTTTTTTGGGATGAATTAAATCTAATGAAAAAAATTTAGGGTCAAAACTAATAAAATATTTGAAATCACGAATAAGTTTTGAGTAAATGATTATTCTACTTTACTTTCCTTTTTTCTGCACTTAACGTTTTTGTTATTAATGGGACTGTAAGTGTAATTTCAACTGATCGATGATCCTTCAAGCAAAACTTGAATGTACGCTAACTTACAGTGTGAAATTAATGCAGCTGTTGTTTGTTTCATGCATAGATTAGTTGAAATAACAGATAGGACACTAGATTTTGTCTTTTTAAGATTTGGATGAAACTCGTTTTCAATAACCCTGAGACAGAAGCCCAGAGGAGTTTCGTGCACAGGGTTATTGTGAACAAGTTTCATCCAAATCATCTAGTGTCCTTTCTGTTATTTTAATTAATCTATTGTTTCTTGTTTCACATATTCAGAATATTTAAGTGCCCAAAGCGGATTTCAAAAATTTATGTATAATTTATTTTTTGAGACTTCTATAAATTTATATAGATATATTATATTTCTATAATTTTTTGAAAACAGTGTTCAACTATTACAAGCATTTCTCTAGATAAACAAATATAAGTCTGACATGGTTTAAAGGATAAAGCCGAGAATCTGACTCACCATGCTAGAGATTACGCCCAATCTTTCATCAATTATTCATCAATTTGGCCTCAAAAGTTAAAATCACAATTCAAACAATCTTTCTTGTGTTTACTTAAGACTTTATAATTCATCAGAAAGTTTGAAAAATTAGTTTTCACTTCGTATTACTTAGTTTTTGAGAATATATTCAAAATTATTCCAATCCACATTTTAATATTTTCATTGTACTAAACTTATGATCAAATACAATGAAATGTGTTCATGAGAACTTTAGTTTTAGTTTTCCTTAATATCATTATTACATACTTAAAAAGTTTTGAGATTGCTTTCTTCAACTACCGAAATAATTTAATTTGTCTTAAATTAACCCAATCATGAAGCTGATATTAAAACAAATAAAAATTTTAAAAACTATAATTTTACAGATTCCTACAATTTTCTTCCTAAAACTGGAGGATTTACAGTTTTGGATTAATCCCTTGATTAGAGGAAGAGTTTAATCCCTGTGGGAACCAAAGTTCTAGAATGCATAGATCCCATCAATGTTTGTAGAACTAAGGTTGGACACTGTGATCTGGACAGGCTACCTTTGTTGCACAAAAATATACACTTTGTAGTCCAGACTTAACAGTACCGCTAAATGGTATACTGACTTGGATCATGCAATGATTGAAGCAATGTGGGGAGGGATACTATGATCCGAACTAGAACAAACATTCACTTGTATCTTGCAGAGCTAAAGTAATTGTACAGTTTTTCCAATAACTGGTACGGGATACCCCTGATTACCCCTGGTTGATTGGTAATGATCACCAGTTAGAAAACAATGGTTCCGACCTATGTTCAAACCTTTGGTATTGTTTTTATAGAACAAGTGTACTACAAAATGTGTTAACAAATTCTACTCACCCTTGCTTCCCACCTTCATTTTACACACATTGAATCCCATCAGTCCATACTCTTTCAGTTGGTGTATTGGTTCCTGCAGACTATCTTGGTTGATGTATTGGTTCCTGCAGATTATCTTGGTTGATGTATTGGTTCCTGCAGACTATCTTGGTTGATGTATTGTTCCTGCAGACTATCTTGGTTGATGTATTGGTTCCTGCAGACTATCTTGGTTGATGTATTGGTTCCTGCAGATTATCTTGGCTGGTGTATTGGTTCCTACAGACTATCTTGGCTGGTGTATTGGTTCCTGCAGACTATCTTGGTTGATGTATTGGTTCCTGCAGACTATCTTGGTTGACGTATTGGTTACTGCAGACTATCTTGGTTGATGTATTGGTTCCTGCAGATTATCTTGGCTGGTGTATTGGTTCCTGCAGATTATCTTGGTTGGGGTATTGGTTCCTGCAGATTATCTTGGCTGGTGTATTGGTTCCTGCAGATTATCTTGGTTGATGTATTGGTTCCTGCAGACTATCTTGGCTGGTGTATTGGTTCCTGCAGACTATCTTGGTTGGTGTATTGGTTCCTACTGTTCTCCTACTGTTCTCCTACTGTTCGCCTACTGTTCTCCTACTGTTCTCCTACTGTTCTCCTNTGGTTCCTGCAGATTATCTTGGTTGATGTATTGGTTCCTGCAGACTATCTTGGCTGGTGTATTGGTTCCTGCAGACTATCTTGGTTGGTGTATTGTCTCCTACTGTTCTCCTACTGTTCTCCTACTGTTCTCCTACTGTTCTCCTACTGGTCGCCTACTGTTCTCCTACTGCTCTTCTATTGTGCTCCTACTGTTCTCCTACTGTTCTCCTACTGTTCTCCTACTGTTCGCCTACTGTTCTCCTACTGTTCTCCTATTGTTCTCCTACTGTTATCCTACTGTTCTCATACTGCTCTTCTACTGTCCTCCTACTGTTCTCCTACTGTTCTTCTACTGTTCTCCTACTGTTCTCCTACTGTTCTCCTACTGTTCTTCTACTGTTCTCCTACTGTTCTCCTACTGTTCTCCTACTGTTCTCCTAAAGAAATCCTAAGTTTTAAATAAGCTAAGGACAGCATCTCATCTCAGAAATCAAGGCTGTGGCTAAGGTTTAGCATGCAGCGTTAATATCTCTGGCTGAGCCTAAATACCCTTGACTTAGCTGGAGATCCAGCACAAAAAGTTGCAATCAGAATAACTTTTCTATCAATTCTCATTAAAAATCATTTTGACCTTTTTCAAGTTTTTAATTTGTTTTCTGAAGAAATCAAATGCATGAAATTGCAATTTAAGAAAAATGATTTCCAATCCCCTGATTCCTTTTAAAATTTGCAAACTAAATTGGTTTAATTAATCTTTAAGATTTTGCAATATCTTGCTCATTTGATTGGGCTTTGCATAAATTTTTATGGAATTAGCAAAAAAGTAACCTTATTATAAATAGAGTAAAAGATATCAAGACATCAATTTGAACACATACTGATTTTTTTTTTGGACTTTAGGGCATGGGTGGCTGCTAACATAAGGGACATAACACTATTCCTTCACCTAATACAACAGTGCTAGAGTTGCAGTAAAGGGACTTAATTATATTCCTTCACCTAATACAACAGTTCTAGGGTTGAGAAGGGACTTAACAATATTCCTTCACCTAATACAAACTGTTCTAGGGTTGTAAAGGGACTTAACACTATTCCTTCACCTAATACAAACTGTTCTAGGGTTGTAAAGGGACTTAACAATATTCCTTCACCTAATACAAACTGTTCTAGGGTTGTAAAGGGACTTAACACTATTCCTTCACCTAATACAAACTGTTCTAGGGTTGTAAAGGGACTTAACACTATTCCTTCACCTAATACAAACTGTTCTAAGGCTGTGAAGGGACTTAACACTTCCTTCACCTAATACAAACTGTTCTAAGGCTGTGAAGGGTTTCAATAATATTCCTTCACCTAATACAAACAGTTTTAGGGTTGTGAAGGGACTTAACACTTCCTTCACCTAATACAAACTGTTCTAAGGCTGTGAAGGGTCTCAATAATATTCCTTCACCTAATACAAACAGTTCTAGGGTTGTGAAGGGACTTAACATTTTTCCTTCACCAAATACAAACTGTTCTAGGGTTGTGAAGACACTTAACACTATTCCTTCACCTAATACAAACTGTTCTAAGGCTATGAAGGGTCTCAATAATATTCCTTCGCCTAATACAAACTGTTCTAGGGTTGTGAAGGGACTTAACACTATTCCTTCCTCTGGTTGTGAAGGGACTTGACACTATTCCTTCCTCTAATACAAACTGTTCTAGGGTTGTGAAGGGTCTCAATAATAATCCTTCACCTAATGCAAACAGTTCTAGGGTTGTGAAGGGACTTAACACTATTCCTTCACCTAATACAACAGTTCTAGGGTTATGAAGGGACTTAACATTAATCCTTCACCTAATATAAACTGTTCTAGGGTTTGAAGGGACTTAATAATATTTCTTCACTTATTACAAACTTTTATAGAGTTGTTAAAGGGACAGTAAAGGAAAAATGAAAGGGGGTATAGGCTGAAAGCTAATCACTTTAGCTCTTGATCGCGACCCATGAAAGTTTTATCTGATGTTACTATCTCGAGAAATTGATATAAAACTGTGTTAAAATCATACGAAAGTTCATATGTGTAAAATTTAGAAAATCTTAAACTTAAATCATGTGACCAGAACTATCACCAATGGCAGAGCAGTATGCTGATCACGTGTCTCTGCCTGTATCACGTGACCACTTTACTGCACTGTCATTGGTGAATTTTCTGGTCAAGCAATTCGGACGTGTAAATAATATAATGAATTAAATCTATTAAAAATAGAAATAACAAATATAAAATTAGAATTGGAGTAAACCTAAGTAATAATTAGCTTTCTCGGGGATATTATCGTTTTCAGATTGGTTGCTTATTTACTGAATTTGATCTATTTAAACCCACTACTTTTATACAAAATTGTATATATATTAATTTTCGTATAAATTTGACACAGTTGTAAATCAGTTTCTCGAGATAGGAACATCAGATATAACTTTCAGGGGTCGCGATCAAGAGCTAAATTGATAAGCTTTCAGCCTATACCCCCTTTCATTTTTCCGTGACTGTCCCTTTAAGGGACTTAATAATATTCCTTCACCTAATACACAGTTCTAGGGTTGTGAAGGGACTTAACACTATTCCTTCACCTAATACAAACAGTTTTAGGGTTGTGAAGGGTCTCAATAATATTCCTTCACTTATAACAAACTATCCTAGGGTTGTGAAGGGACTTGAAGTTGCAAGGATGGTGAGTAGTGGAGCATGCAAGGTGTCAGGCTGGATGGTCAGCAAGGTTGGTATCATTATCATCATTATCATCATTATCATCATTATCATCATTATCATTGTTATCATCTTTATCATCATTATCATCAATATTATTATTATTATTATTATTATTATTATTATTATTATTTTCATAATTATCATCATTGTCTTTATCATCATTGTCATCACTATCATAATTATCATCATTATAATTATTATTATTATTATTTTTATTTTTATTATCATTATTATTAATGATAATAATAATGGCGTTGGCGTTATAATTATCATTATCATCATCAGGTTGGCAGTGCAACTTTGGCATTAGGAAGGATGGCTGCTCCTCACTTGGAACGTGGAGCAAGCAAAGCTATCACTCACTTCTCAGGAATGCAATTTGTTAAATCAGATATTGAAAAAAAACTTTAATAAATACTTAAATCTCACTCTTTTGGATTCTGTTAATGGAGTATAAAATTTCTTGAAGAAAAAGGCACACCCTACTATCATTCTTTTTTACTTAAAATGTTAAAATGTCCTTTTTGTCATGTATTTTAAGCATACTGTATTATTTAAAATAAACTGTTTACTACTAGGGCAAAAAAATAGGTCTTTACCCTCTGTTCTCCCACCTATTTAGAGTTAAATTGTAGACTTAATTCGTGAATATAGGCTTTTACGGGCTAATTCAGTGATTTGAGAATGGAAGAAAGAATAAAAGGAATAAAAAGAGACATTATAAATTCTGTACATTATAGTTTGTGAAGTCATAACCTTCGTGGTTAACCATTTATATGAAGTAAATACTTAATCCTAAATCTTAAATCCTGAATTTGCCAATTTTTTTCCTTAATATAGTATTAGGTAAAGTACATTTCCCTTGGAACTATTTCATAGGTTATGAAATCATGTCAGATTTGTGAGATCATAGAACTGGTCAACTTTTAATTTGCTAAATTTGACCCCAGGACAATCCAGTGCGGAGTCTAACCATCAACTAAAAATAGGAACCCTACATACTTACCTTAATCCTGATTATATATTAAAAACATATGTATAATGTTTCTTTATAAATTCTAAGCTTTTAGTTTTAAGGTGTTTTGTACCACTCTTTCTCCTAATATTTGTAATACTTTGCTTATTTATAAAATCGGATTTTTTTAGCCTAGGACACTCGCAGGCTACCCATGAGTGTCCACAAAAATTTTACTTTAGCAGCAGTAAACTTTTAAAGGAAAATATAACAATAAAATGTATTTAAGTATTTTAATATCTTCGATACAGGTCTTGTATATGTCTGAACTACTATTTTAAAATCTTTTAAATTTCTTATTTTTATCTTTTTTAGTATTTTCTTGTTTGTTTCTTCTCAACCTTTACATGTTTGATGGTAAAATTTATTTTAATGCTTCTAATAGATCAGAGGCTTATGGAAACTTTTTCCTAGGTCTGCAACTTTACTCTTCAGATTCAGAAACTAATCTTGATAAACTATTTCTTTATCTTTTTAATTGATGTACTCAATAAAAGTTAGAGAAAAGTTTATCTTAGTTATACATTATAATTATAGAGAACCTTTTTTCTGTGTATGAATGTATCATATGAACCCCTGTAAAGTATGTACTGTATGAACCAATGTTATGAATGTACCTATGAACCCCTGTAAAGTATGTACTGTATGAACCTATGTAATGTATGTACTGCATGAACCAATGTTCTGATTGTACTGTATAAACCCCCTGTAATGTATGTACTGTATGAACCCCTGTAATGTATGCTGTATCTACCCTATATATTAAGTACTGTATGAAGTTTGAAGTACTGAGTAATGTTTGTAGTGTACTTCTACTTGGTGAGGTTGCTAGTGGAAGTCTAGCTGCTGTATCTACCCTATATATAATGTATATTTACTGTATAAACCCTCTGTAATGTATGTAGTGTACTTCTAGTTGGTGAGGTTGCTAGTGGAAGTCTAGCTGCTGTATCTACCCTATATATAGCTTTAGAAAATAGCTCTAAAATACTCGCTAAGAATATGGCCAACAATACTGTTATGATTGTGTCACACAAGTAAGATCCTACAAAAAATTATAAAATTTGCATAATTAAGTAAATTTCAATATGTGAAACAATTCTTTTTTATATGATAAATTTCAGCTTAAAGGGACTGTAAGCGTAATTTTATGTAACTTACCATGCAAAGATGACAGACCACTCTGTACTTGATGAGCCACACTACTCTGCAACTTGAGTATCACTTGAATTTACACTAACAGTTCCTTTAAGAATTATTTACACCCTTATTTCAAGTGATTTTTCACTAGATAAAAAATATTCCAATTTTTGTAAGATAAAGATAATGATTATTTTTACAATAACAGAAACTACCAATCATGACGGCTATCAGGTTTATTTTGACCAGCATCTAAAATAATATTTCATAGGTATGGAACAGATGCAGCCGCTGTGGCAGATGCTGCTTTTGCAACAGCTGGAAATAGCTACCTAACCTTCTATAATACAGCTGCTCTTGGACCTAAGAGCATTGCGAAAAGAGCTGCTAAGGTAATCTGGAAATTGACCTGAATGATTAGCGTCAGCATGTATTTTTAAAAAAATCAAAATTCATGAACTTTAAAATAAAAATTAAGTTAGTTGTAAACAATTTGTTGAATAAGGACATTTTTAACTCTAGGATGCTGGTAAAGCTGTCGTGGGATTTGATGCTGTAGCAACTAGGGAAAGAGCTGAAAGGGCTCCAGATCTGAAAATAGGTAATTATCTTAAATGACGCTAACGATAAAAATTTCTTTTAAAAACAGAAAACTGTAAAAGAATCCAATGTATATAATGGAGAAAAATCAGTACTTTGATTGCTACATAGTAAAACGTGACAGTAAAAAGTAAAGTTTTAACCTCCTTCCTCTCCAGCTTATTTAAACATTAGTTATTAGTTTACCCAGGGGGGAGGGGAGTAAAGATGACCAAAATATTTAATTAAATTATAGATTTGTAAATATTTTATTCTAAGATTTGTTGTATTGTCAGGTGCTGAGGACGTTCTTCAAACTTTTCAAACAGATATACCAGCAGATAAACCATATATACCAGATAAACCAGCAGATAAACAGGAGAAGCCACCTCAGTAAATATGTAAACAATATTAATGATCTGATCTACTGATGTATATTGTATAGCTTTTATTATTGGCCGAATTTAAAGAAAATATTTTTTTCTGGCTTTTTCATTTTTTTTATTTAATTTTAAAAGTTTAAAATTAATGGTCCTAAGTTGATTAAAGTTTTTTTCTTCCTATTGTTGGCAAGAATCTAGAATTTGTACATTTAAGAAACCCTAAATGAAAATAATCAATATTGTAAGTGCCTAAAAAAAGAACATGCACAGAAATTATTAATGTACATGATTAAGAAAATATTATTGTATGATTATCTTGAAGGTTTTGTTACGAAAACTTTTGTTTTATTTTAGTTGTTATTATTGAGCTTAAACCTAATATCAAAATGTTGAAAACTTCAAGATCTCTTCATAATATTGTCAAAGCTTACATATGAAATTATTAGTCTGTCCTGTGATAACTAAAAAGTAGAAAAAAGTGTTGATGGAAAATTTTATTTTTTTTATTTTTGCAGTTTTATGGGCCTTGTTGAATTAGTTCCATGAATTTCTAAGAAAAAAAATGTTTAATAATTTAATTTTTCTAGGAAGGACAGTATAGACCATTTATTAAGTGAGATGTAACTTCACAACAGTATGTTTTTAAGGTTTTAGTTTGATAAAGAATGTATTATATATATATCCATTATCTTCTCTTTAAAATTTGATTAATGGTAATGATCAATATAGTAGGTTCTTTATGATCACTCACAGTTCTAAGAGATTATAGAGTAAATTGTCAGATTTAAACAAGCTATGAAACGATGATATCTTCCACATTATTAATCATAAAAATGTTTAAAAGGTACTGTTGTGAATTATGCATGTAATTTCGTTTTAAAAAGTAAAACTTTAAGTATTTAAGAAAAATAAAAAATTTCTTCTTAGCTTTTTATTGGAAATATTTGATACAAAAATCCAGAAAAACAATTTTAATTTTATTTTCTTTAGAATTTATGCTTAAACAATTCACATTCTTTGTTGCAAATTATTAGTACTAAATATATATAATTTTAGTGAATAAATTATTGGTTTAGAAAAATAACAAACTATTTGTATTTTTTTCTTGAGCTTAAGCTTAAAAACAGGTTGAAAAATTAATTCTTTTCATCACAAAAATGTAATTTTCAGTAATCTTTCTGTAATATTTGATTCTTATATTATAAACCCAAAAAACTGAGATGCAAGATATCTGAAAGCAATGGTTAAATTCCCCTGATTTAAGAAGTTAGACATGAAATTTTTAAGTTTGACAACTGAATACAACTCCAGCTAACCACACTATACAATCTGAAAGGAACTGTAAGCGTAATTACAAGTGACCCTCCATGCAAAGACGACAATGCATGATATTCAAAGGTTCCCTTAAAAGCTTTGTCCGGTCAGGTATGAATTATTTATCATTGTTTTTATTTCTTTAAACTGGGCATTTTCATTTGCAGTTTCTCTGCGAAAGTGACTTGCGCATTTCATGTTTATATGAAGCAATGGAGAAACTCACACAAAAAAAAAACAAGTTTTGACTCAACAAAACTACGGTATCAGATTAAGGTTTCATGGATACAGTGATAAATCAGGCATCGTCTCTTTTTTATGAAGGGCCACTTGAAATTACGCTTACTTTCTCTTTAAGTTGTAAGTTTAAAGAGTAACTATCTCTTTAAATACTCTCTCACTAGGTTAAAGCTTAGCTCAGCTTCTGCAGTTATTCCCTTGAATATTCTTGACATGTAAAATATTAAATAAACAGAACTTAAGGGACAGTTCACCAAATTGGAAATTATACTGCAGCTCCACGAATTCTAAAAAAGTGTCTCGTTGTTAATCTAAGATTTGAGAGAGTAATAAAATAACATTTCAGAAAATAAACGCACAGTTTGCACTGTAAATCCTTAAGCTAGCAAAAAATATCACTACATAGTTGAAAACTTGTCACATATGTGGTTAGGAATAAGACAGACAGTATTTACAGGGATACCCACAAAGAATGAGAATTCAGAGACGACTGAACGAAATGTATTCAGTATTAATTCTTGAATTCAGAGTTACTCGAGAAACTTTAATCTTCAATCTGCCTCAGTCAAAATAGTCAGTTAATAGGTTAGAACTATGTTACATGCACAAAATCAACTACAACGTTTAGATGTATTCTCAAAATAAATTTATTTATGCATTGAAGTCTTCTTCTATCTGGGTAATCCTGTACCATAGCTTCCAGCCCCTCCAGTTAGATAAACTTTGATGTATTTAGCGTTGATAATCGGATTGGTTTGTTATTGTTATTTGGTTTGTTATTGTTATTTGGTTTGTTATTGCTACTTGGTTTGTTATTGTTATTTGGTTTGTTATTGTTACTTGGTTTGTTGTTGTTATTTGGTTTGTTATTGCTATTTGTTTTGTTATTGTTATTTGGTTTGTTATTTTTACTTGGTTTGTTATTGTTATTTGGTTTGTTATTGTTACTTGGTTTGTTATTGTTATTTGGTGTTTCTTTTATATCTTCTCTTAGGGTAAAAATATTTCAAAGTGTACACAGTCCCTTGATATATGATGTGATATGATGGGATGTCAAGATGGGAAAAACTATGCATGAAGAAAGGTTTGTTAAAGGGTAGATTGAGAAAAATGAATTCCGTAAAATGAATTTTTATTAACGAACCCAATTAATGCATAACTTGAAGAAACATCAACTTTATAGTGATACTAAAAAGACACAAAATAATCATTTTACATTTTACAAGGAATATTTATGTGTACTGCTTCCAACAAATTGGCAGATTGCCAAGGGGCATATCTCTGTACTATCCAATAAACGGCCGAACCAATCGGGCAATTCACAGTTTTCAAATTTGATAAAAATGTTGACATTTAATATTTTTGGAAATGCTCGAATATAAAACTAATAATTATCCCCGAAAATTTGAGAATGATTAAAAACTGACACTTTCAGAGCAACAGTTAAGAGCTAAAATTGTTAATGGGAATTCAGCTAAAAAGACAAGTACTATATTATTGAGAAGGGGGTTATCGAAAATGTTGGTGGAAAAAAATGAAAAAGTTGTTTTTTGATACTTTTTCAAAAAAAAATTGTTGGTCACCGATCCTCTTGTTAATCCTTAAGAAGTGGAAAATAATTGTGTATAGTGTAGATTTCTGTTGGTCGAGAATTCAGTTTAGAGTCAATGTCCAACTTTTATTGGCACTGCATTGTATTGTGTTGTGGACAGGGGCAGCTTATCAAAGGGGATATATACACTGTGCAAAAGGGTGGCACATGAAGGTGGTTTTAAAAAAATTGGGGTGCATGGGTGATGTGAACCAATATGAGCATTTTGTAAATATTTTAGATTGATCGGAGAATTGCATTATGGGTGCATGTCGTTTTCGGTTTTTTTGGCAAAACCTTGATTTTGAAAAGAGGTCAATGAACTCCGATCCCAAATTTTCTTTGTGGAGGCTTTTTGCAAAATATCAGTCTGTTATCTCAATATTTAAAACCAAATGCAGCCTGTAGAAGCCCACTGGAAATAAGGTCTACAGTTAGGGTTTTGTTTTTGGAAAAAAAAATATCTTTTTTGACAATAAGGCTATGCATGAATGTAGTCTTAAAGTTTTTTTATCGAAACAAATAACCTGAATACTTTTTTTCACCCCGGATTTTCAGACCAAAAAAAGTATTTTCTCTTTAAAATGTCGTTAACGGTCGTTAATGAAGTGTCGTTTTTAAAAACAACCGTTCGAAAAAAACGATAGTTTCGTTTTTTTTCTTCGTTTCAAAAGCGAAACTATCTTCTTTTTTTTTAAAAGTAAGAACAATTCATCTCTATCTGTAGTCCCTTTCAAATCAAATTCAATAAAAATAAAATAATAAAATCAAATTCCTAAATTGTAGTGTGGAGATTCAGGGTTACCCACAAAGGATGTTCAGTCAACTTTCTTTCATTCAGGGTTCCTTGTAGGCCAAATCCAGCTTATTACTGTGCTTAATAATTTACTAAACCATTAAAATACTAAATTGAATGCAGAAACCAAAAATCAAGCTTGAAATCGTCATATTTTTAGAGTTTTGGGTCGTCTTTACAGTCTCATCTGTTGCAGGTAACCCTGTATATGATTAAATCAAAGATTGACATGGATAGATTTATCCCCGGTAAAAACAAAAATATTATCGAAATATTTTTCATTTCTTTTCCCGGCGGTATATGTGGAGGTTTCACATATCATACTTTCTCATATATCGAATATCTATATTATTTTAAGATTGTCTCGGTTGTCTCTTTGTTGGCTGGTTTGCATTGAAAAACAATAAAATGGCCCAATTTTATTTCAAATTCTCCATAAAACACAAAAATCTGTAAATGAAATATATATCATTAATTTTTTGATTTTATTGGGGGGAGGGGGGGGGGATTTTGTCAGCGTTTTTTTCAATCCTCCAGAGGACCCTGAGTACGGAGACGCTGGAGCAGTTCTTCACAGACCGGTTGCCAGTCCAGCAAAGGAAGCAGCTAGGAATGCAGTGTAAGTATCTCAGATTGTAGGAGCAGGTAAATTAGCGGGGACTCTGGAACAACTACAGTGGCAGCTAGGGTTACAGTAGAAGCATCTCAAGAACAAGAGCTGCTGAAGGTGATATTGAGTTTAAGGAAGCTGCTCAGATAGATTTTAAACTGGAGCTATGGAAAGAGACATTAGAGCTGAACAAGAAATTGAAGAGTGGCTGATGTACTTAACCAATCAAACAATGAAGCTGATAAATCATATTCATTTATGTTCGTGAGAGATATCTAGAGAACGAGCTATACAAGGGATTTATAAGAAATAGAGTAAGGGAATGTAGAGTGAAATATGTGAAATATGGGAGCAAATAATTGATGTTGATTATATATCTTTTGATCTCTGAGGTTGATTAAACACAAAATTTGGCAGCTCGCTTCAATTTGTTATAAAATCCTTGACAAGTTTTTCATGCAAGAATCTAATGATATCTATATTGTTCCATGAACAAGCTTTCTTGTACTTTGTGTACTTTGACTGAATAGAAAAAAGAACTAAAGGAATTTAAAAAATATTTTTTATCAAAACACATTTTTCTGACATACTAACTGGTATGGATAGAGTGAGAAAAATCATACTATTGGCCAACAAATGCTAATTTTTAAAAAGCCGTTTTGGAAAAAATTAGCAGTTGAAAACAAAAACGAAATAGATGGTTTTTTTTTATAAAACGGCAAGTTTATTTTGGCTAAAGTTGCATGGAACTTGCGCAAAAACTTTCTTTAAATGTATTTTTATATTTTTAAATCTTCATCCCCCACCTTGTTTATATGAAGTAACTTTTAAAGATTTTTTTTGCAATTTGTTGACAACTTGTGCCGTAAATCCAATTTAATAAACTCCATATGATTTAAGATACTACTAGCAATCGTAAATGTCTTGCACTGTTAACAATTTGACAAACCATTAACACCTTTTTTTGCGCAAAATCTGATCTTCTAATGCCGTTGATTACAAAAAGAAAACGTTAACAGCAAAATATCTTCCGTTAATGCCCCTAATAAAATCTTTAACTGTCGGTAACTTTTTTAAAAACGGAAAATACTGGTAACGAAACAAACATTTCATTCTTACTGTAAAACTAACAGCTACCTGAGATTTTTCTTTCAACGGTTGGAACGAAGGTTAACAAAGCGGCTAGAAAAAGTTGGAACATGTCCAGCCCTAGCTGCCCTGCTGGGTTGCTAATATATTTTTGATTTTCATGATGTATCAAGGATTTTGGATTATGGATTATGGATTAAGGATAATGTTATGATTATTTTGTTCATTCTCTGGATGGTGCCTTATTACTGGTCAGAGAGGATTGTACTATAAGACGCTGGAGCAGTTCTTCACAGACCGGTTGCCAGTCCAGCAAAGGAAGCAGCTAGGAATGCAGTGTAAGTATCTCAGATTGTAGGAGCAGGTAAATTAGCGGGGACTCTGGAACAACTACAGTGGCAGCTAGGGTTACAGTAGAAGCATCTCAAGAACAAGAGCTGCTGA